AGCTCTGCCTCCAAAAGCTATAGGATGTTCATTATCCTTTCCATCTTTTTGACTCAAGACAAACCCTATGCTCATATCACTGGCATCAGTTGCGAGAAAAAATTCTTTGTCAAAGACTGGATAAGCCAGAACAGGTGTGTTACATCTTTGAGTGTGTTGAAAGCCTGATCACACTCAAGTGACCACTGGAACTTTGGTTTCTTACCAGTTTCTGCCTCTGAATGCTTTTTTAACAATGCATTCAATGGCAGTGCTATTTTCTCATAATCTTTCACATACTTTCTGTAAAGTTTGTGAGGCCTAAAAATGAACGAACCTGTTTTTGTGATTTGGGTATTGGGAAGGTTTTAATTGCTTCGACCTTTTTGTCATCAACTTGAACACCTCCACATGATAAAACATGACCCAGAAATGAAACCTTGCCTGTTGCAAAATAGCATTTTGATGGCTTCAGTGTTAATTTTGCCTGTTTGAGATAGTAGAAGACTTGCTCCAAATGTTGGAGATGCTCTTCAAAGTTTTTGCTGTAGATTATCAAATCATCGATGTAAATCAGCTCAACTTTAAAAAGCAATTTTCTTAGCACTTTGCTCATGAGTTGCTGAAAACAAAGTGGAGAATTAGATAAGCCCTGGGGCAAACGTTTGAATTGATAAAGGCCTTGATGGGTGACAAAAGCAGTTTTATGTTTTGAGCCTTTGTGTAATGGCACTTGGAAGAAGCCATTGGCAAGATCTAACGTGGAAAAAATTGTAGCTTGGCCATTGCCAATGTGATCAACAACATCGTCAAAAACAGGGAGTGGCCATGACATTGGTAATGTGACAGAATTTAATTTTCTGTAGTCACAAACAAGTCTATATGATCCGTCACGTTTCTTAACTAAGATGATGGGGGCTGAATACATTGAAGTGGACTCCTCAATTAAATCATATTTGAGAAAATCTTCTACAAGTTCTTCAGTGACTTTTTGGAGATGAGGAGATTGACCATAAGGCCTATAAGGCCTACACTTTTTTCTCCTAAGTCTGGGATGGAGTTGCCCGTGACATAATCCCTAGTGTCATTGTCAATGACATGCCTCGCATGCAAGTTTTTCCTAAGTCTGCAAGGCTTTTGGTGGCAAACCAAGTCAATGACTAACAAACTCCAGATTCAGGTAATGAAATATCAAATAAGTTTAAAAAGCTTGGTTCACATGTTCCAATCAGACCCTTTCCCCACCAGAATCTCTATTTTGTCCTAAAACCTGAGTAGTCTTTGATTGTTGGTCTGGCGGCCAGCATGTGTCTTGGTCAAGTCAAATCCATAAATCTTGAGCAATTTTGACATAATCCCTAGTGTCATTGTCTGTTGTCTTAATGTCAGTGTTAACTGAATTTCTATTAAAAATATCATTTTGGTTGGTCACAGTCAATTTCAATATCGTTGACGAAAAGCTGAGATAGAGTGGCTGTCAATGTAACTAAATTTTCCTACAACTGTACCCTTTGTCTAAAAACTTTTCTTCTTAGGAAGGATTCTGCTTCTAAATTTTCCTAAATGTAGCAGTTTTTTTTTTTCATTGGGACAGCTTGCCAGAGGGTCCTACCACCTGCTACTTCAGAATGAGCAGTGAGGGAGGCAATTGGTTCAATGAGGACAAGGGAATCATCTTTTGCCTCAGGCAATCTCACCTTGAAATTAATTTCGCTCTGAGGGGGCATATAAATCTGATCTATTGTTTTTGCTAATCCACAAATTTCTTGATCTGAAGTGATGATGAAGTTGATGTATTTCCTATCTGAGGTGCTGTTGCCTATTATGAGGGAGTGCCAGCTATAATCTAAAACTGCATCGTTGTCATTGAGGAAGTTCTCACCTAGTAGGACTGACTTAGGTAATGAGGGCAGGAGATAGAATTTTTGTGAAAATTCTTGATCTTCAATGACAAAATCTAACACAACTGAACCCAACACCTTGTGCAATTCACAGCCAACACCTTGAATTTGTGGAAAGGGTGAGTTTCCAAGTACAGGGTTGTTGAAAGCTTTGTTTAGAAAAGCAGACGAAATGCAGCAAATGGATGCCCTTGTATCTATTAAACAAGTTGTTGTTTCAGTGCCAAATGTTACCTGAATTACACTTTTGGCAAGGGGTGTAGCTAAGGTCACAGTTGGAATTTCACTTCCAAAGTTACTTTCCATACCAGACTCCATATTGGCCATGACACCTTATAGTATGTACGGTACTATAATTAAGAAAAGACAAGAAATCAACAATGTACAGTAGTACTTACAATTTTTGAAGACTTTTTCTTCCTTGGTTGGTGTCTTTACAGGAGTTGGTGGTCCTTAATCCAGTGCTGAGATCAGAGGTGGATGCAGTCGCTTGTTATTCCATGTGTTCTTGTAGCTGGTTGTAGTTAGTTCCTGGGCTCCGAGGTTCCGAAAATCATTGATTCTCCGCCACATATTATGATAACGGTCTTGGGTCCAAGTGATGGTTCCGGTGAAATCCCTTATCTAACTGATGTGCTGGACTGCTTGGGGGAATTAACTCAGCAAAGAGTCCGAAGTCACGAGAAGCTAATCACAATTTTATTTACAAGAACGGAATAACATGGGGTGGCCACAGAGAGTCGGTACAACCCTCTGGGCTGAGGGCTAGAGCTGACCTGTGTTGGGAGTCTAAACCCTACAGATGGACAAATGCAGTTAGAGACTTTTTATCTACAATTAAAACAATAAAGAGATTACGATTGGTTCACTGATACAAAAATGGGAGTAACCTACATTAGCCTATCAAATACGGAATATACAAAATGGGGTGTGTCCTACTAATGACAAGACAGGGCAATTACTCTTAATCTTGTTAATCCTATTTTAACTGGCACTTATCTTGTTGGCACTTTTACTGGATGCTTGGATGCTTACCCTGGGCTAGATCTTAACGAGCCTAATCTGATGTGTCAATTATTGGTGCTTGGATTACAATAGATGCGTTTACTCTGGACCTTAATTGGTATTTGTTTAAAGTTTTGTAATATAGATGATGATATGTTTACTTTATGAAAGTAGTTCATTTAATCATCTGGTCATAACTCTGAATTACTGAAAGGGTTCTAACAGCTTGAGTCCTCAATACCTTAGGCTAGGATTTTATCTTGAAATCTGTGAAATTGTGTAGCCGTAATTTATACCTTTTTCAATAGTATGTCTGTGAGATGAGTTTTACAACTTTTGACTGGAGTCTTTCTCTAAGCTATTACTAATATTCTATCTTTATATTTTCCTAATATCTGAATCCTAATATATTGCTCGTAGTGGTAATAATGAATAATGAATTTTGTATGAATTATTATTCCATGATAGATATATCAAACAGATCTTGAAGTGGTGCCTTTTGCTATTTGCAGATTTTCTTAATTTCTATGGAAACAATTTGGACATAGTCCCAAAAAATTAAGTTTTCATTTACGAGGACGGTATCCATTATATTTGCTGCCTTAGGTCACATGCATGAGTTTTGACCAGTGAAGATCCTTATAGCAGACTGTGGTGGAAAAACCAATATTTATACAATGAAATCGTTTCTTACAACTGCGAAAATACTCCTGGCATGGTTACAGTGATATTATTGATGTTAAGAGCTCTCAAACGATACCTGCCATCAAACGAATCGCCTCGCCTGTTATTCATTAAACCTTCAAAAACGGAGGTTGTTGTGCCATGTTACCGAGCTGGAAAGCCATTGTCATCGGGAAATAGACGACCATCCATATTATTTAAGGAACGTGTTTATAATAATTTTCTGATTATGTCAAAATCAAAATATAAAAGACAAATTTAAGGGGATACCATATGTTACAGACATGTTACAAATGGAAAAAAGGCCGCAGTTTTTGCTTCCTTTGTGGTTTATCTGGATGTTATAAATGTGTAAGATTGCACTTTCATTAAAAATTGACATATTTAAGTTGTACTGGTATTATTTGAACAATATGATAAAACTGTCATATTTGTGAACAATAGGATTAGACCTTTCAAATGGTGTATGACATGTTGTTGCAATAATGTTTTACAAGCTGATATTTTCCTTGATAAATATTGGCTTCATCTATGACCTCAGAGTCTCTCGGAATTTGATGTCATGGCAGTAAAAGTTTCTGGTTGACTGGTGTTGAAAGAGTTAATGTGAACTCATACCCATATTTTTCTGAGAGGAAAATTAATACATTTTTATTTAAAATAATTATTGAGATAAACTAAGTATAAATTCACTGAATAAAAATAATACTTTCTGCAACCTTTCAGATTTCTGTAGTATGTTAAGTTAGTCAACCAGGAGATACTGAGTAAACAAACAAAATTAAGTTAAGACCCTATTTAGAGTATGATTATTTAATAAACAAGCAATCTATCATGGATTATCATCATCATGTCGTGAATTAACACTCATCTTATTTCTGAAGATTTGTTTGTTTTTTGTTGTGTTTGGGCAATCTTTGTTCTTTCTTTGCTCCCTGAAAATTTTTCATGCTCCTTGAAATTCTGTTTGGCTCTTAAGAAAAAAAGGTTAGGAGAGTGCATGCTCCTTGGAAAAAATGTTTACTTTGAGGCCTGGGGATGAGAATTTACCACGGATTTGATTGCTGGGGTCATTGGATCTGGCATGGGGGCCTATGGCCCCCAACACCTCTGGCTCATTTTCCTCTTTTTTCACTCTTACCCATTCTCATCCCGGCATCACAGTAAGTGGATGCTTTACACAATGGGCTACCCCAAAACCCATCACAAGCTTTAAAGACAATTTGGTAAAATTGGATCAAATGGCAACGACAAATGCATATTTATTGTGTCATTTTGAAATACATCCACATACCATGTGAAAAATGGAAATATCTATTTCCTGTCATGACTATGCTATGGCAATATTCAAATTCAGTCCATGGTTAGAAATGTATGTTTCAACAAAAGAGCTATGCAAGTAATGCAGTTTTGGTGGTTTTTTTACAGGATCGAGTACCATTTGCAGTGGTTGGCAGTAACCGTGTTATTGAGGCTGGAGGCAAGAGGGTCCGAGGTCGGCAGTATCCCTGGGGACTTGTTGAAGGTGAAATTTCTTAGCTTCTCTCAGAGCTCTTTGTAATGTAATATATCTAGGATTTTTTTTCACCAGAAAGGAAATCCTTAAAAGGTTTTTAGCATAGATCATGGGGCTTGTAACACAATGTATATGGTCCTATAATATAAAGCAAAACCCAGTACATTCTATCTTAACAGCTCTGTGCTTATTCTTTTGTAGCAGCATTTCTCTTTTGGCCTGGTAATAGTATGGCTTGCTATGATGTTCCACTGATAAACACAAAATTCAAAAGGTGGTTGAACGTAAAATAATTTAAGTTGATAAGACAGCAACCTATTTATCCAATAACGCACCATGCTAACCTATGTAGCAAGTTGATCTATCAGCTTGGACAGCCAAGTGGCTGGTCTAACAAAAACGGGAGGACACTGTACTGAAGAGTCCTGCAATGACATACAATACTTTTTGTATTCTTTTGTATTTTTTCACAAGTGACTGTACAAGTTTAGGTTCTAATTTAATACAGTCAGGCCGCATTAGTCCGGTCCCAGATAATCCGAGCAGACTCAAGCTGTAACCAATCTTGTATACTATATAAACACATCAGTTGTTGATTCTTTAATCTGATGCTTCAGTCTCAGACTCCGAGCATCAATTATCGGTAACGGATTAGCTAATTGTCCCCCGCCGCAACGTGGAACGGGGGACTATGTATTCAGCAGCGTCTGTACATACGTCCCAATTCTTGTTAATGCGATATCTCATGAACTGTTGTAGCCAATGTCTTCAACTTTGGTGACAAGCCTACATTGGGAGATTACACAGACACCAGTCGATTTGGGTGACCTTGGCCTTATCTTCTAGGTTACCACGACACTTTGACCACTTTTCAAACTCTTCTTAACGCGATATCTCATGAACTGTTGTTACCAATGTCTTCAAATTTGGTGACAGCCTACATTGGGGGATTATACAGACACCAGTCGATTTTGGTGACCTTGACCTTATCTGCAAGGTCACCACGACACTTTTACCACTTTTCAAACTTATGCAAACGTGTTCTCTTATAAAACATTGCACCCAATGTCTTCAATTATGTGGACAGCCTACATCGGGTGATTATGCAGACACCAGTCATTTCTTGTATGTGACCCAAAAATATAAAGTAGTAAAAATGTTATAAATATTTCATTCTTCTTTAGCTGCAGGGGAATATTGCCATATGAGTGGCAAACACTTGTTGTACTTATTTCTGCTTCCAGCGACCATATATACGGCGGCCATATTGCCTAACAATAAGTCAATCACTAACATATTGTGTGGACTCACGTCTTGAAATGTTGTGGAGTTGACAGTTAATGGATACGCATACATATTTTGTATCGCCAAAAGTAATAATTAGTGTAGCTGGACGATCACATGTAAACAAACTGCTTTCACAGTGGAAATAGCGAGGAATGCACGAAACCTCATCGGTGACAGGTCAAATCTGGCAATACACCAAAAAGCTGTCGCATAACCTTAGTTATGATTATAAATATTTTACATTTATAGAGCACAACCTGCAATTAAAATGACATAATACTAGAATATATTTCTCTATATACAGTAATAGTTTCAGATACAGTATTTTAAAGATCACTGCATCAGAATTCATCTCATTATATTATCAGGTACGTTTTAAGTAAATCACCAGTAGGGGAATGTGTGCACAGCACAGCTGATTGCTATTTCCAGTGCTGTATACAAGACAATTACACATGGTAATCACAGGTATACCCCAGTGATTACATCCGCCCTACAGTCCATCAACTCATCACTAAGCAATCTTAATCCCATTATTCACATTTTTTTATCACATTGTTGGCAACCTCCCATTATGTAAACATTTATTCTTATTGTGTAAACACCCATCACTCGTACATCAGTCAGCATTACCAGCCTGTGCTTAAACTTCGAAACATAACTTTGATCATGTATATAAATTCTTTACCTTCAGTAAGGTACATCACTTGCTTAAAGGTGGGGGTTCACTTGCTTAAAGATGGGGTGTGGCCTCCTTGCCTTGTCAAAGCTGTCATTAGATGCAAAGCAATGTAGTATTCAAGAACATTCCATGAAATATTACAAAATTGACTTACCGGTTCAGGCTGATATTAAGTCATAGTATAAAGAAGTATGTTGTGAAGACTCACTTCAAAATGTATGGATGCAGAGAGTCTCCAAAACATACAATTTGAAAATATATTGCTCATTTTTAAATCCAGATTTGAATTTCCTTGTGTCAGTCAGGTGGTCAGAGGAGGTGCGTTTCCATAGAAACAAGCCTTGGAGTGGGGAAATGGTTCATTTAGGGTTTCATATTTCAGGCAGGCTGGGAAAATGCATGTATTTCATAAAAGAATGAACATTTCTCCTGGCTCTTATATATTTTATACTGTATTTTAAGTAGGAAAAAATATTATATATTTTTTAAAGTATACTGAACTTTTCTCATTGTTCTTATATATTTTATTAAAGTATTTTAAGTATTTTATTATACCAATGTAAAGGAAATGGAGAAAATGTGATATTTCTTACTTGGAAAATCTGCAGAGACACAGCACCGCCTAATATAGCTGTGCTTTGAAAAACAGAACGCTATCCATTCTACTGACGACTTTCTTTCCGCCATAGGCCAAAACCATTAGGTTGTGTTGATTTGTTCAATTATTATGCCATAGAATTTTTCATGTTTTCATGTTATTAATCATTTCTTGTTGATTTGTTTGATGATATTTATTTCTTATTCACTCAAATTATTTGCTAATTACATATATATTGTCCCACCGGCATGTAATGCGGTGGGATATAGTCGTCGCCTCGTCCATCTGTCGTCCGTCCGTAATCATTTTGTTTCCAGAGCTTAACTCAAAGACCGTTCGATATTTTTCAACAAAACTTGGTAGATATGTCAAACAGAACCTTAAGTGGTGCCTTTTGCTATTTGCAGATTTTTGTCATTTTAATTTTTCTTGGTTTCCATGGAAACATTTTGGACTTAGTCTCAAAAAGTAAGGATTGCTATCGTTTCCGGAGCATAACTCAAAAACCATATAATATTTTTCAACAATACTTGGTAGATATATCAAACAGATCCTAAAGTTGTGCCTTTTGCTATTTGCAGATTTTTGGCATTTTTATTTTTCCCGGTTTCCATGGAAACGATTCGGACTTAGTCCCAAAAGTGAGGGGTGGGCTTCATTTCCGGAGCACAACTCGAAAACTTCTCAATATCTTTCAGCAAAACTTGGCAGATATGTGAGGCAGATGCCAAAGTGGTGCCTTTTGCTATTTGCAGATATTTGTGATTTATTATTTTCTCGGTTTCCATGGAAATGATTCGGACTTAATCCCAAAAGGGAGGATGGGTTTCGTTTCCGGAGCACAACGCGAAAACTTCTAAATATCTTTCAGCAAAACTTGGCAGATATGTGAGGCAGATGCCAAAGTGGTGCCTTTTGCTATTTGGCAGAATTTTGGCATATTTATTTTTCCCGATTTTCATGGAAACGATTCGGACTTAATCCCAAAAGGGAGGGTGGGCTTCGTTTCAAGAGTATAACTCAAGAACCGTTCAATATATTTCAACAAAACTTGGTAGATATATCAGACAGAACCTTAAGTGGTGCCTTTTGCTATTTGCAGATTTTTGGCATTTATATTTTCCCCGGTTTCCATGGAAACGTTTCGGACTTAGCCACAAAAGGAGGGGTGGGCTTCGTTTCCGGAGCACAACTCGAAAACTTCTAAATATCTTTCAGCAAAACTTGGCAGATATGTGAGGCAGATGCCAAAGTGGTGCCTTTTGCTATTTGGCAGAATTTTGGCATATTTATTTTTCCCGATTTTCATGGAAACGATTCGGACTTAATCCCAAAAGGGAGGGTGGGCTTCGTTTCAAGAGTATAACTCAAGAACCGTTCAATATATTTCAACAAAACTTGGTAGATATATCAGACAGAACCTTAAGTGGTGCCTTTTGCTATTTGCAGATTTTTGGCATTTATATTTTCCCCGGTTTCCATGGAAACGTTTCGGACTTAGCCACAAAAGGAGGGGTGGGCTTCGTTTCCGGAGCACAACTCGAAAACTTCTCAATATCTTTCAGCAAAACTTGGCAGATATGTGAGGCAGATCTTGAAGTGGTGCCTTTTGCTATTTGCAGATTTTTGTGATTTATTATTTTCTCAGTTTCCATGGAAACAATTTCGGACTTAGTCACAAAAGGAGGGGTGGGCTTCGTTTCCGGAGCACAACGCGAAAGCTTTTTAATATCTTTCAGCAAAACTTGGCAGATATGTGAGGCAGATCTTGAAGTGGTGCCTTTTGCTATTTGCAGATTTTTGTCATTTATTGTTTTTATGATTTCCATGAAAACGATTTGCACTTAGTCTAAAATCAAGCTGGTCTTTAAGTAACTGTCAGATGATTTGTTCTTTGAAAGATGTGGGGGCCGGGGGGATATGTCATCTTCTGACGACTCTTGTTTATATAGTATTTTGGGTCATTATATTTTGAAGGAATAAAATGTTTCATGTCATTAATCATTTCTTATTAACTTTTTGACCTAGACCGATGAATTCATACCTTATATAGTTATTCGCAGTTTGGAGATTTTTGAGTCACGTGTTGTGATCCACAACTCACAAAATTCTTTTGAAACTGTAAACTCGTTGAATGGGTGAAAGTTAAATTGATCCTTCTTCAAAATAATGACGATAACTTGTGGACATGTGAAACACAACAGGTAACCGAAAACGTGTTTTCCCCAAGGAAACAACAAAATAAAATAAAGTTTCTCTCAGCTGAATTGACTTGTGAATGATGATGAGATGCTCTGAAATGCAAGGAAATTTCAATATTTTACGTGGGACTATATCCCCGGACCCCCCTTAAGACCTCGCCACTTCATGGCTCGGGCATGCACATGCAAGATTCCAAGGGCTATGTGTTTTAGAAAGTTTTCTTTTCCCACCGCGAAGACC